ATTTATTATGTAGTATATATATATATATATGTATATATATATATATATGTATATATATATATATATGTATATATATATGTATGTATGTATTTGTTTATTTGTGTATGTATATATATTGGTATATTGTGATATTGTGATATTGATATTGATATTGATGTTTTTCTTATGTGTGTATGTATGTAAACCTACAACGATATGCATTTGAAGGTTTAGATTCATATCTCAATTAGGTCGTATGTATAGATCTCAAAAAAGTGCTCACAATAACAGACATGTATGTTGTTGTACTTGTGTGTACTGCTTATATATGATAAACACTGTGCTTGTGTAAGATATACTAATGAACTTTGTGCAAATGTATGCAAGTGCAATTGTGTTCTTCAGATTCGCTTTGGTTTGTCTCTTTTAAACAGCACTACATTATCGGATACGTATATATATATATATATACGTGCGTGCGTGCGTGTGTGTGTGATTGTATCGTATTGCCATGCATTGTATTGTATTGTATTGTATTATGAATACATAGAGCTGCATATACATCCATATCAGTAGGTGTAGTTTGTCATAAGTGTGTCTGAATACTTCCACCAAATTGTACACTAGTTCCCAAAAAAAAAACATATATATATATATATATTGTTCTGTAAGAACAATGTGTTCTCAAGTAGTCGCTGTTAACACTAACCAGAGATCCTGCGTGATGCACTATTTTACACTTCCCTCTGCTTATACATGTTTGTACGTATATGCCTGCACACCTCAGTTTCACCGGACCCTTGCGCCGCCTACTTTTGTATATGTCTGTGCATATATACCTACATGTCCCATCGCTCGATATACACCTGTGTATAATCTATCCATACACTACGCTAACACCCTATCACATGTCTGTGTCTAATTGCGCAGATCACAAGAGGAGACGACTGGCGATAGTGCAGTGGCCGTATGTGGTGTACGAACTCACAGAAGCGGAAATCACAGAAGACATACTCGCCATCAAACGGGCTCTCAAAGCATCGACCGGAAGCAAGAAAAGTAAGTGACGTTTGTTTCCATGAGGTTTTTAGGGTGTGAAGTGCGCGTGTATTTATGTGTGCTTCTTGGTACCATGCGTGGGTTCTATGTGAACTACAGGAGATATACAGGGTTATATCATGCGCCTCGCGTCTCTCCTGGTAGTTACGGTAGTACGAGTGTTATGTGCTCGGAAGTGGGGCGTTGCTTCTCATATGCATGTGCTTGTAGTTGTGGCGTGTTCCTGTGCATATATCCTATATGTCCGTGTGTCATAAACGCAGCGAGTGCCCGTGTGTGTATAAAACCAGCTGTGTGTGTTCTGTATTCACACACACACACAACCACTGGTGTAGGGCTATCCTTAGCTGCATGTGGTTTCCATGTATATCTTAGCCACCCAGAGCAAAGGAGACATTGACTGTGAACTGTACTTCAAGTGTATTACATCCCACCGTTGCACTCCTTGCTGCATGTGGTGTGTGTCTATATAATCCATCACGCATGCTTTAGGGTTTTAGAATGTTCTGGCTCGTTCGCGGCTTCATTGAGATTGGGACAAACAGTACGCAAAGTACCAACGACGTGTACACGTGCAACCAGTGACATACTCACACGAGCATGCGCTAGTTGACCTGAGACACGCAGACTGTTTGATCTTTCTATGTTATGAGGTTGGATTCATAGTTGAAACGGTGGGCCTTTTAAGTAGATCAGTCTCATGGCCTCGGTCTGTTGCTTTTATCCTGTCTATCGATGGATATGGAGTTCTATGTGGGTTTGCTTGGTAGTGCTGCCAGACGTGTCTTTGCATGCATCTGAATGCACCGTTTCTTCTCTATAATCCGAAGCATGCGTGTCTGTATAGTTGTTGAACATTGGAAGGCTCCAAGAGGAGATGAAGTGTGGCAACTGACCGACCTCGCGCAGTCGTCCAATCAGAATCATGCGTTCTAATTTTATATTTATTCTGATTGGTGGATACTCTACAGAACAAACAAAGGACAGGGTGGCGGGGGTGGATGTGTCTGTGGAAAGAGGAGAGCTCACGTACAGTGGCACTACATATCCGAAGGGTGCGGTGGTCAGAGTCTCGATAAAGGACGTTTCATACAATGCCGTGCTGACGGATATAAATCAAACCGAGGTACAGTCGCGGGCCTCGTATACGTACGCGTACAGGTTTGCTGTCTATCATCGTGCGTTCGAGCTTTATGCGTATGTATTCATACATACATACATATATTCTATGAATGTCAATGCATACATTTATAGAATCTTTTGGTATATTGCGATAGCGTAGCACAGTCCGATGAGTGCACAGAGGTCCGAGTCTCTGTCCTATGTTGATGATCCATCAGATAGCACAGTTTTGAGCGGTGGCAAATTGATATGAAGTATCCATGTGTGTTCAGCTGTAGTAGTACTCGTGCTGTTCGACAAAGATTGTATATTCGACACTTTGGAGGTTCGGTACAAGCCTGAATATCTGCATCCTTGTTCGATATTCCTTGTCCATTTAAGATTCGGAACGTATTCATGTACTACTCTTTATGTAGATTGCGTTTACATCGTCGTGCTTTCATATACGAATCTGTATTGCGCATGTATGTGTTTTATTTAAGAATGTTTACAAGGGGTGTGGATGGTATCTGGCTTGCCGGAGTTGTCGTAAAGTACTTTTATATCTTAGTAAACCCGCTGCGTGTGACACACTTATATTCCCACATTGTGCATATGTTCGCAGATCCATGTCAACAGAACAGGTGTTTATAGTTGTGTATGGTATCTGGCTTGTCGAAGTTGTTGTGTACAACTGTGTAAACCCACTGCGTGCGACACACTCACGTTCTCGCATTGTGCGTATGTTCGCAGATCCATGTCAACAGGACAGAAACCAATGGGAAGAGAGCGAAAATCAATATTACACAGCTGAGGCAAGGGAAGACCCGCCTGGAAATGGTAGCGTAGTTAGGTCACTCGGGATTAAACATTGTAGAAATCATTGGCATTGTTGTAGCATTACGACATAAATTTGTCTTTGGAAAACAATTGCTATAGATCGACCCTCCATAGTGTTATATAAACAAAGCGCACAGTAGAGAGATCAATTTTTCTGTAGTACAGATGACATTGGTAAAAAACTACAGGGTGAATTTCTATCTATATTTTAAAGTCGTCAACTGGCCCCTAGAAAGTGCT